AAAGGGCGGACACCAGCAGTGACAGACCTGGGAGACAAATGAATAGAAACGCTACACTAAACGCTACATGGCCAGCGGAAAAGGGCGGACACCACCAGTGACAGCAGCGACAGACCTGGGAGACAAACGCATAGAAATGCTACATGGCCAGCAGAAACCGGCAGACACCAGCAGTGACAGACCTGGGAGACAAATGAATAGAAATGCCACATGGCCAGCGGAAAAGGGCAGACACCAGCAGTGACACAGTGACAGACTTGGGAGACAAGTGAGTAGAAATGCTACATGGCCGGCGGAAAAGGGCGGGCACCAGCAGTGACAGACCTGGGAGACGATTGAATAGAAATGCTACATGGCCAGCGGAAAAGGGCTGACACCACCAGTGACAGACCTGGGAGACAAATGAATAGACATGCTACATGGCCAACAGAAAAGAGCTGACACCAGCAGCGACAGACCTGGAAGACAAATGAATAGAAACGCTACATGGCCAGCGGAAAAGGCCAGTGACAGCGGACACCAGCAGCCACAGACCTGGGAGACAAACGCATAGAAATGCTACATGGCCAACGGAAAAGGGCGGACACCAGGGCGGACACCAGCAGTGACAGACCTGGGAGGCAAATGGATAAAAATGCTACATGGCCAGCGGAAAAGTTCGGACACCAGCAGTGACAGACCTGGGAGACAAATTATGCCGGCGTAGACCCCACATAGCACTTCAAGAAAAGTTGGACACTATGGCAAGAGTGGGTGACAAGCTTGGGAGACATCCCACTCAAAGCCGGGAAAAGGATGTAAAAGGTAAACAAGACAAAAAAAAAAATAACATCTTATAACAGCATCCGCGTCAAAGGCAGGCAAGAAAATGACAAGGCGGAAGCGGCAGCCAAGAGCGAAATCAGGAACAGAGACAAGCTTGGGAAACACGGCGGCAGCGGCAGCCAAGAGCGAAATCATGAAGGGAGACAAGCTTGGGAGACAAGCCGGCAGCGGCAGCCAA